GTGATTCTTTGGGGGATCCTCGATGTTCTTCGCTTTTCTTCAACGCGCTTCGGCTGTGACATGTATCAATACTTATTAATAACGGGGTAAAGGTTGTTTACGTTTTTTTTTTGTGTGCGTGTTGTCTGCCTGTCCGTTACGAAATTCGTAGAGCGTGTTTCAGCCATTATCCTGGGCCCAAATTTTGCACGGCGTAGCTACCAGCATGAAAGTGCAGTATGCAAAAGCGCGAGCGGATCCGTTGAGTGTACCGCTCTAAAATTGCACTTCAAATGGATCCACTCGGCTTCTGGCCAGCAGAATTGTGCCTGTAGCACCCTTTTTGCAAAGTCATGAATATTTCTGATAAGTTAATGTGCAAACCGTGGACTTTAACCCAAAAAAGTGGACAAAAATTTGGTACTTTACCAAAGTGGCACCAAAAAGAATTGATTGCGTCAATGTTCAATTTGCCAAGACTCACCTGATCATCTGGAATTTTTGCACGGAGAAGTGGCTCACGGTGATTATTACCATCAAAGCGAGCGTCTATAGTTCATGAAAAGTCCAAAAGCCATTCAAATTTGCATTTATTCTTCAGGGAAAAGTTTCATCCAAGGGAAATTACCGATCTCCACAAAAAAGCTATAGAAATGAGTAGATAAATGTTTACGAATCATTCGTGATAGTCTGTATAGCGCGATGAGTTTGAAGTCATTTTAGCGGGAATGAGTAAGGCATAAAGATAGTAGGACCAGTGCGAGCCTCTGCGAAGCAGAGGTGACGCGCTGGTATGTAGATAACAACGTTGTTATCAGGACCGTAATAAGGAAAACTCGGCGTGTACATGTAGAACCGTAAGCCGGAGGTACCCAGCATATGTGCTAGGCAGTGGTTTTTTTTTTCATTACCGTGCTTCTGTTAACACGGCTACGACCAGCGTTTAGCTCGAAAAGGGACTTTCTTCTGAGTTATTAAGTATCCAACAGGTCATCCGGCTAACAACAGAATATGTCTCGAGCATTTTCTCGTGATTGTAGGCGCTAAAAATTCATGAAATCGTGACGACAAATTGCGGACCTCACTCCCCCAAACCTCACAAGGACGTAAAACATCTGAATACTATAAAAGCTAGCGCTTTGCTCAGTTCAGCCACTTCAAGTATCTAACACCTATCACGCTTGTAAAAAAATAGGACTTGAGTAGAGGAAAGCCAAGAAAATGCAGTTGCCAAACTTGCATACGCGCATGACTACCGCCAGTGTCACGATCTCGGGAATCCATAGATATATAAAAATCAAACACTGTACCTTTGTTTGTTAGAATGTTTGTGGCTTATAGACTCTTCTGTATATGAACCGAAAAGGCTGAAATTCTCCCCCCTACAAACAAGCCACGGCGCAGAAGATAGGCTACTTTTCTCAACGACTCGCTGGGTCCTTCTATAGATTTATTGATTTGTTTACTTACATCCAAGAAATTGAAAGCTCTTCATTTACCATCAAATCATTTCCCCAAGTGAAGTAGAAGAGAGCGGTAAAGACCATTTACATTTTGCGGCGAAGATGCGGTGTGGTCACGAAGAGAGGCGATGAAGAAGGAAGACAATAACTACGGTGTCACGAGTTAGGAAAAACAGGAAAGAGGAGGAGGAAAAGGGAGCGAAACAGGAAGGAAGATGGAAAAGCGAACGAGAATTAAAATGAAGAGTGAGGGACGAATTGTGAGTTCGAAGACGTTTTGATCACTACGCCGGGCCAGTTACCAATGCCCGGGTTGGACCGGGAATGTCGGCTAGTGTCCTATATCCCCGCGGCAGTGGCGTACCCAGGATTTCGGCTCGGGGGGGGGGGTGGTGGGTGCGACAAGAAAAATTTTCAATGAAGGTGCTGGCGTTAGCCACGCACCCAGAAAAAAATTTGGTACGCTTCTCAAAATTTTCGCGGGCCCACAACCTCAGAATTTTAGAAAAAGGGGGCGTGGCTTCAGCCACGCAAAAAAAATTTTATAAGGCTAAGTTGAATTTTCAAAGAATTTTTAAAATTATTTTGATTACTTACAAGTATAAATAAGTCATTTGCACATTCTTATGACTCACGTAATTAACTTTCAAAAATTTCGCGACCCATTCTCGGCCCCCCCCCCCTCGGTACGTCACTGCCCCGCGGCAATACGCATCTGTTTTTGGGACGCTCAAGAAAGCCTCTCCTTTTGAAGAATCTCTGCTATGCACTTGTTTCTTCAGTTCGCAAGTTCAGTATTCTAACAGACACGCGCTCCATGATTACGGCTGTAAATTGTTGAGAGTTTCTACCTCTTACAGCCCTAAACCTGCTCAAAACACTCTCAATCAAAGTGTGTTGTTGGAAGTAAGAGGCATAGTTGGCCAAAATTTCCGCAAACATCTAGACATACAGTTTCGAGAACTCACCCACTTTTCGCAGCCGAGCGCTCTTTTATCTGCCTTCTTCTGAAGTAGAGTTTGTTATCGCCCTACTTTTTTGGTTGTGACCAGTATATCTCGCAGTTCCCCGACTGAGCTCTCCATGAACTATCCATAATCTCGCTGTCATCAAGAATCGGGATCTTTTACCGTCCGATCAACAGCCAAACTCTACTTAGCCAGGCTCATCTACATCAGAGGCAGTATGCCAAGTGATAGGAATATGAAGCGAAGGAGATGTATACTTTAGCGACGTTTGTGGTTTATTTCAAAACAAATAGCCTGGATTTTGAGTACAATGCCTCTTCATATCTGAGAGTGTGATAAAGCTCTTTGGTATCCTTATTTACGCATTTCAATTCATAGGATAACAATATGGCAAGAGCAACGGATATAACAAAGGGCTTCAAAGCTGATTTTCGGCTGATGATGGTCGGCAGATTGCTCGGCTTTTGTGGGATCGGACGAGTGCATAGCAATGGAACGGCAAAAACCAAACGGTCCGGCAGAACTTAATGCCTACGCACGGTGTTTGCGGGCCGTTCAGCCGAAATTTTGTCTGAGTGGGAGCGAAACGTAATGGATGGAACACTATCTATGTATATAGTACGTGTTTGGAAGAGCTGCCAGCTGGTATGCCCCTTTGTTGAACTGGAAAACAAGACAAGACAGCGTTGTATTTTTGAGATGGATGTAGTTTGGGAACCGTGCAATACCTTTGTGCATAACCATCACGGCCGCGTCTGTAACGACAGGAATTGTGCTGGGGCATAGAGATAGGGCAACAAATATGTTGCCGATACTCCACCCGGCGCGGAGAGCCGGTACAATTCTGTGATGTCTGTGATGTGCGTGGCTGCGTGATCTGTCGCAAATGTCCGCCGGACCACCTCCTTTCGGTAACATATGGTCCTCTACTCTATTCGATACACTCAACGCCGATTCGTTGACCGCACGATGGGCGTAGATTGCTAAGCACGCGCAGCAAACATTGTGACACATTTGTGGTATATTTCGATTTTGTACTCGTACTCTCGTGACACATCACCGCGCCGCGCATGCTTCGAAATCTACGACCGGTCCGTGCAGTCCACCACTCGAGGATGAATCAACTTCGTCTCATTTGAGGACGATGTCACAGCACAACACAGCAATGATCGAGCACTTATGCAGTGCTACCTATGGCATCGAGTCATGTATTTGTCCCCCTCCCCGCCACTTCAGATCGGAGACTTTATAGGGGGGGGGGGGGGCGTAATCTGGGCGCGGCGTGCGTTGCGAAGGTGCCACCGTGCACGGCATACCTCCTGACGAGCCCACTTGGAATAAGGCTGCCTGACTCAAGCCGCGTGGGTCCCGCGCAACCGTCTCGCGTGAGCATGCACCCTGTTGCGAACATGTTCTCTCTCTCCTAATCAACGACTGAAGCTCGCCTCCAATTGTAAAGGGCCGGGCACACCTCACGCGATTTGGCAATTTGCCAGAAGTTTTCTTCAGATCCAACGCTAATAAACTGCACATGCAGAGTGTGTATAACTTACGTGGATTGATAAAATGGCCTATCTTCTGTACATTTGAAATGTGCTTGCGGTGACACACGGTGACGTCAGAAGCAGGGGAATGGGACCCCTCTCCGGGACTCGCAAATCTCTGCTTCGGAGGTCCGCCAGATTTGGGAGAGCCCTGGAGCACCAAAATGGGTGGTGGGCGGGCTCCGGAGCGCTCCGGAGCGCGAAATGGCAGACCCGCGCCATTTGCCCGCCGGAGGTATCTCTTCGACTGTCTGAGATGCTCTGGTTGATGGGGGGGGGGAGCAAGGTAACATAGCAAACATCTGGCCAGGGATATTCTCATATCACAGCAGGTTATGCTTACGGCATGACCTTTACGGTGCTTAGGCAGAAGTAATGATAAGTTGCAAGGAAGTTGACAATGTCGGCACAGAACTGTACGCTAAAATGCGCGCTTATCTGCAAGACGGCGTTCACAGTGCCTGTGCTAGCACCGTACAACCGCCCGCATGAGCCCCCTTATTGGCTGACTGACGGCGCTGGCACGGCGCTATACGCCGCTGGCACACAAGCAACTCTTCACGGCGCGTGAAGGCAGTTGGATAAACATGGCGGTACCCATAGCAAGATTCAACTCAGTTTAGGCGAAAATTGGACTGGCGGGACCGCCTCGCAGCGATTCGTGCCACTTTTCAGTCTGCTTCTCCTCATCCTAATCTATCTCGCTGAGACTGTGGTGGTGCGGACGCGCTGCTCCACTTGGAATGTTTCGCCTACTCCGGGTTGAAAAAGACTGTAAAGTTGTAGCAAAGATTAATACGATTCGTTACCGATCTTGACTACAGCGAGGTATATATACCGAAGAAGTTGTACAAAATGCCAAGATTTATGGTAAATTGAGTCATTTGACCTTGTGCAAGCTGTGGAGCATTTCTTCACTTCGCAGCTTATTCACTAAAAATTGACGCACTATCCATTCAGCAAGGTTTGCCAGGAGTAGTGATCTTGACTGTGAATTCGCGGTCCTGATAAGAGTTCCTATTACTGTATTGCATAACACCACTGATCTCTCGGGGAACCAAAATGCTACGATGGTCCGTTGGAGTGTTTCAAGAAGGTACGATGTGGAAGCCGCTGAACCAGGAGGAAGAGGTAAGATTTTTCAATGTTGTCAGCCCCACTGCTTTTTTACCTGTTCAAGGCATTCCATGGTTCAACTATCGTTCCAGAAATGCATAGTAGGCGTAATTGCACCCGTTTTAAGTCATTGAATGTTTCCTTTTTTTTCTGATCGGAATCTGTAATAGACCTCAAGAGAAGACGACACCGACAGCGCCTTGGTGAATATAAAATTTATTCAGTACTTTTCGCAACTACCAGAAAACTATCGTTAAAAAAAACTGTTTCCTATTTTGTGACCTTCCTTAGCTTGAGACTCGAGCTGTGCTGCCTTGAGGTTTGTTGGTGCTGCCATAAACAAAAAGTTTTCAAATGCGAGAATAAAAGACTAGTGCCTGTGGAGGCTGATCATCGGTTTCACAGCTCTTACACCCATCTGGCAATGCCTTCGCTAATCCGCCTCCTCTCCTTTCAAGAGACAGTGATATGAAATGAACTGCATAATTTTAGATGCATCATCCATTGTTTGATCCTATATTGAAAAAAAGTCATAAGCATGCCAAAAAGAAAATTGCGAAGGTATGAGATTTTTTATTTGATTTTCAAGATTACTTTCTTCTTCTCTTCAGATTATTGAAGCATTATTGACGTTATTGTCTTTCATCATCATCTGCTGTCCAAGAAAAAAAGATGCAGGAAATGGCAAAAGGTAAGATGTCGCAAACCACTGCTTCTCATATCTACTTTTTTTTGAGGGCCACGGCGATTTTTTATTTTTGAATTTTGTTAGGCGCCATACACGCCATTTGATCCACTTGATCCGCTTCATCCACTTCGCTGTGGTCAGATCAGAAAATGACCAATGGCGCAGAGGATGAAGTAATCAAGCGGTGCTTTGCTATTGGTCATTACACTGATGTGACCACTAGCGAAGTGGATGAAGTGGATCAAGTGGATTAAAGGCACCATCCACCCAGATTTTCGTCTTCCACGTTTAGTCGTTTCAGGGACTTCTCATGTCCCTGATTCCGAATATGAAGTCGAGAATGCGCGAAAACCCCGATAATCCCTGTTCCGGAGAACACAGAGGCTGGCTTTCCGTAACGGTGATGATGGGCGCGCACAAATGGGCGGGCATGGATGGAGAAGGGTGGGCATGGATGGGGGTCTTCGTGCATCTTCGCTATTCCGAAGTGATTTTCTCGTCTCCGAAGCGACATTTTGCGCCGCGACTTGGGCATTGGATTGATAGAGGACCCTACTATTATATGCTGCCAAAACCCAACACCCTCAACTTAGGGTGAACGGTGCCTTTAAGTGAATGAAGTTTTGGCGCGTGCCTATGAATACGTGGACTTGCTAGTGACTTGTGCACAGAGAGTGGCCAAAAAGCGCACTTGATCATATACAGTCTGTTCCCTCGGGATCAGGCCGAACCGTTGACGTAAATTACGCGCTCCAGTGCTAAGGGTTTGCACTGCATATGCGCGCTGTCGAGCCATTAGACGGTAAGAGAAACGAAAGAGCGCTCGATCAGAGAGACGCCGATAAGTCCGCAGTCTTTGTATGCTATGCATCGCCTTTACGTTTGCGAACGCCTCGCTTTCAAGGGTAGCCGCCATCGTCTGGGACTAGCCTTTATCTTGGTCTACTCAGTGCTAGTCTGTACAAAGTTTGAAGATTACTTATCTAGGAACTCTTTGATAAATGTTCCAGATTCGAGGAGTTACCCAACGAGATTATTCTCAAGATTCTTTCGTACTGTGACTTCACCACAAAGATGAATATGAGAGCTGTAAGCATTTCTGCTGATGACATTTGACTCTGTGATAGCAGGTGTTCAGATAAGCCGTAGATTTTATTCTTTGGTCGAAAAAGCTGCCTTCTCGTTGGTTCGTAGGAATCTCGTAGGTGGAGTCGAAATCTGGAAAGGAGAGAAGATAGAAAACACACTTGAAAGTGGCCAGTTTTTTCTAACATCCTTGAATATGGTCGCATATTATCGCTATTTATCTTGTGAAGTACATGATTTAATTGGATTAACTCTATATCACCTCTTCAGTTCTTGCAGATGCCTCATCTTCGTATGGACGCTATCATGTAACACTTCGTCGCCCGCTCAAGCGTGCTCATCTCAAGATGCCTTCAGACCGGCTTACCAACATCATGAGGTTGTTCCATCAGTTTTGTGAAGTTTTTTAGTCATGGTTTGAGCACCGAAATAACCTCGAATGACACATTCAAGTGCATTGTTGATCAGTTGATCATAGGTATTGCAGACATGTCTCCGTATGCCATTCCCTGAAGTTGTGCGGGCTCCCGCTGGATGAAGTAATGGCTGCGGATATACTGGATGCTTCATTCAGAACGGTGAATGATGTTATAATTGACCGGGTTCATGCGGTGACAGCTGAGACCCTCAAAAGGCTCGTTCGTAAAGTGAGTCATTTTGATTGTCATACTGCATTTGTTTTGGAATCCTAAAGTGAAGCTATCAGATTTATCTCACCTAGCAATGATCTCTCAGAACCTTATTCATCTGGCAATACTTCCCGCTATCGGAAAACGGCATAGTGGAATAAAAAGTGACAATTAAAACAAACAATCTGCCGATATAGAATTCAACAGAACACATTGTAAAAAATTGTTAAAAGATTAGTTGTAGAAGGCGTTCGTCATGTTGTTCATCAGCGCTGCATAAAATTCGGGACGACTAGAAATTAAAAAAAAAACTTGGGAATGGAAATAGTACTAAATGCATTTTTTATACATTCATCACCTAATTAGGGTTTTTTGTAGACACATCCTTCTAAGAGTCTTATCTTCTGCAATCACAGCACTTTGCAAGCGTCAGAGGCAATAGTACCAGATTTACTCCTTGCCTGCTCGGCCAGTAATATAGCTATCGAACCAAGTGTGACTTTGGTGAGCCTGTGACCTCATCCTTTAGAGATATTGAAGCTCAGTGTACCAGCTTCATCGCAAGTTCGACGACGCTGCGCTAGTTCGTCTCGTTATCTCGGATCTGGCAATTCAACGGGCCATCCGTCTGCCGCTATGTGCCATCACTCACAATGGCATCAACAAGGCAGCACAGGTACCATTCCTAGTCCTCTTTACCAGCATTTTAAAATTGTGGCGCTTTTGCATTTTTGAGCCATGACGAATTTTATTCGAAGATGCTGTGCAGTCTGTAATAGTAGCGTAACGATATTGTTTTTCTCTGTTATCTTACTCTCACCACACAAAGACTCGGCAGAATTATAAATGCGGCTGCTGGCTGACTTCTTGATACTTGTTGTCAATGTCAGTATTCTTGAAAGAATCCACGGGTTCACCTAATTTACTGAGTCCCTTCGTCCTCAGGCGTTCTATAAGCGGTGCTGTGAGGTAATGGCTGAACTCACCTCGGAAATGCGTGCACCTCAGTGGAAAGTAAGTTGGCGTGCTATTTTGAATAAGCGAGGTAAGTTACAAGATTTTTGCGGTTTTAATTCACAAGGATCGGTAGTATCGGTAGTACCTTTATAAGTTGTAAGTTGTGTAATGTATGGATATTTTTGCCAGCTTTCCATGTTAATGGCTTGAGATCCTCTAAAAAAATTTCGTTTTTGTGGAGTTGCGATGGCGAGATTATCATGCATATGTAGCTCACACAATCAAGTTTGTCGTCGATGTTGATTGTATGTAGCACACAATCTATATGGGAATATTGATGTTATTCACTTTTATTTTTCCCATGTTGGATTATTTTGCAACTTTGTAGATCTCGGTCTCGTTCCCGTCATCTTTGCTGATTGATCGAAGCTTGATAGAAATTCCTATAGAAATGCAAGGATTATGCACCGTTTGGGGTTATCTTCCTAGTTACAATGACAGCTTTACCGTAGAGGTTAGTTCATGTTTGAGAGTTTCAGTAATACTGTTGGCAATAACGTATTGTGCAATCATCACTATAATTGCAGGTGCGCGTTGGAGGGATGAATCTTCGGATTATTGTGGAGCCAGCATAAGTTGCGAAAAATTGCAAAGAATATTTTGCACTGTTTCATCTTGCTCCATTAATCTTCATTACTACACTGCGGAAGTATGTTCATATCTTTTGTCCAAGATTCTATACTGTGATTCGGGAGTTCCTGATCTGTGATCTATCTACGAGGTACCGTGGCAGGACTATACCTGTTACAGTTTGTTTTATGCTCAGTACTCACCCTGCACCCATGTATGAATACATCTCATTCATAAAGATTATATCTACAAAATTTGTAATCCTGTTTGTACTTTACAGTTCTGATCTCTATATTTTAGTGTTTATCGAAGAACCGTCTCAAAAAGAAGAGCTTATGCTATATTCAATCTATACTGCAGTATTATAAGCAAAGGCTGGGCTCAGGCCAGCGTTTCTATCCATGTTTCTGTCGCTTTTTTCCTCGTTATTTGACGCAGGTAGAAAAGATGCAGCCTGAAAAATAATGGATGGTTGCCGTTGATAAACTTGCCAAGTTTTGTTTCGTACCTGCTGTCTCCTTAGCGCTTCATGGGACTGCGAACCTGGCTGGGCTACTGCTCCTCCTTGTAGAGATAATCTCAATTGTGATGACAAAGCAGACTTCAAGTTTTTCTGAAATTTATTGTTTAGTTGATTTTAAATTTAATTCAAATTAATCTCAAACTCTTACCGCGAAGTTTCCTACGAGTGAATTTGGATTTGCTTTTCTTGCCTCTATCCTTGATCTATATAGAAATTCACCGAGAGCTGCTATCATCGAAGCAATCATACCTCCCATTAGAATATAGAATATACCAGCTACTTTTGACAAATTGAGAGAGGCTGAAGAGCCATCCTGTAAAAGGGTTGAAAAGAAGTCGTTATTTGCAAGCGTTTTGAGATAGCAATGGATGTGAACATGCGGGCCAAGAGCAGAAAAGGTGTGGTTGAGTTTGGTACCTAGGAAATCGAATAACTAAATTTACCACTGTAATGCCTTGGTCGCACTGGCCTCGGTCGTACCACCATTTATTTTCAAGTTTCTTCAATTCTCCCCTTTCTTGTAAAGCTAAAATGGCAAGGTTGATGTGGTCCTTCCAGTCTGAACCGAACGGTGTAGCCACTCCATAGCCAATACTGTTAAGGTTCGCTCCTGCAAAATTATCCTTCGGAATCAATTCGTTTTGAAGTTTGGGACCTACCAACTTTCATCGTGTCACATGGTTTACGAGTATTCTCGTATTCATTTGCAGTTGCTTCCAGTAGGAACGCGTATCTACCCTTGTGGCTTCGTACTCGTTCTATGCCTTCGGCATAACTGGACACAAACACTGATGGCACTTGCGATTCCATATAGCGCCACATTCGTTGGTAGATTTGTACTGATGAGTACTGCAAGAATTTTTTTTTGCATTGTTTTCGCAGATGCGAGTGGGTTTGACGCAACTTGTGATAATGAGAAGCTAATTGTGACCTATCTATCTATCTAATATATAAAGAAGCGTAAGCGCAATTCAAAAATCTGCAAATAGCGGGAAACCGCATGGCGGCCCGGAGCGAACGCTCTGCCAAATAGCACCTTTAGATTGCTAGTTTACTAGTCTTTAATAACGAATAAATTAGACATAAATGTGGACAGAATAATGGAAAAATTTCTAAATGACATAAAGAAACATCAATTCCACAGGGAGCAAAGATTTTAGTATTTTATACCATCTTCAGGTTTCATTGATTGCGTCCCATCCTCTACATACCTCGAAAATGGCTACATGCGGTCAAATGATGGAACTGAGTTGTTCTTTACTGCGATTACTCTTCAAAATTTTACGATTTAAATAATTGTATTTTTTTTGCTTGTGGGATTGGCTGCGGCCTTTGTTTGTTCACGATTTCATGAGTTATGAGCAGGGTCAAGCAAGGGGTGTGACACACGATCGCTGGTTACGACCCCCCCCCCCCCTGATTGCTGTCTTAATAAGACCCCCCCCCTGAACTATACACTTAAGATAGCATTACGTGAAGGTCTGTCAAACATAATGGGCAACATATCCATATTGAGCATGTCAATTAACCCCTGTAGACAAAGTTTGAGCAAATTCTGAAGATTCAAGACACTAGGCTACTTAAGTGAAATGGTCATTTTCCAACATGATTAACTTTGCTTCAAGGGTGAATTTTCTATCCGTTTTTGCACTCAAAACAGAGCACTACTCCTTCTTTGTCCATCTCAGAAATCCCGCTTCAGAAGACCTCCAAACTGTGGAATTAGAAGCCAACCAAAATCTCATTTTTCCCAATTTTCGTCTTGAATCTTCAGAATTCGCTCACACTTTGTCTACAGGGGTTATTTGACATGCTAATTATGGACAGGATACCAATATCATGTTATCACTATTATCAGATTACCCAACTACGACCCCCTCCCCTTTTGACTCCTCAATACGACCCCCCAGGTGCGGCGTGCCGCACCCCACGCTTGACCCTGGTTATGAGCCCAGAAAATTGGAATTCATCCCAGATGTTTTAACAGGCGTGCTAAACCTTGCCCCTTTATCTGGTAAACTTTGTCATATCCACCTCTTCTCGAAAAATACTTCTGGGATTCATTCAACAGAGAATAATTTTTCTATGTAATAAGACTAATGAATTTTCTCAAGTTTTGAAGAGCTGTCAGGTTGGTGAAGAAGATTACGTTACATTTTGGCGGTTGTTGAAGAACTTATAAAAACTTACTAAATTAGTGTTTGACATCTATACTGAGATTTGCTTCATCAAACTGAACATTTCAAGCACACCATCACTTTGATTCAGGGTTTTTGGTTACAAACCGTAACTGAACGCTTGATTCTCAGATCCCATTCGTGTTGTGACAGAGAATAATGATGATTTTTGTTGGGACTATTTGCAGTGCCTACAAATCAAATTTGCGCGTGGAAATCCTTGTGAATAAAAATACAAAGAGTCCTAAACTGCAGAGCTTAATTTTAAATGTTGTTTATCCAGAAGGCAAAAGTTGTTTATCCGAGTGTGCCTCCCTCCTATTAAGTTCACTGGAGTCTGTAAATACATAACACAGGAAATATGTAAAAGGTATTTTTTGGTTTTTCTCCACCATATCAGTCTCTTGGTAGAATAGCGATTAGAAAAATAATGATATGCGGTCAGGGGCATAATATTGCTTATTTGATTGAATGTTTGTTCTTTGCAGAGACTACGTGAATCAATGGAAATTCTTGGAAGCACATGTTAAATAAATTTTCAGAGTCCGCAATCTGAACTTGCTCTTGTTGTCAATTCTTCGTAGACTCGAAGATATTTTCTAAAATTATACCTTGAAGAATGAAGCAGTGGATCCACCACCTTGAATTCCATATTTGATTTTTGTCTGTTTTGCGAGGTCTTCCACACTTTCGATAGGAGCCTGCATCTTTTCCAAGGTCAAGAATGCAGCCAAGTTAGCAGTGTACGAAGAGACAATGATCATAGTGAAGAACCACCAAGCAGAAGAGGCTATCCGACCGGATATGGACCTAAATTGGTGAAGGAAATCTACTCATCTAAGAACGTTGAATTTAGTGGGATGAAAAATTTACTCGGAACAAGCCCTTGGACATATAGAAGCTGAAAGAAGAATTCACCTTGGTAAGATATCAGTTCCTTGCTGCATAAAAGCAGCCAATGTGAACCATAGACAATTATAAACAGAAAAATCATTAGAAATAGTGAATCCACCCCTCGCAGTTTCTTCCACTCTCCATTCATATGGGGAGAATCTTGAGACCAAGAATATCACGACGGAAACCTTCAAAATATGCTTTGCACAAGAAGAGTATAACCGTAATTCTTACCCCTATATATGCAAAAATAATATACATCCAGATCTCTGTGCTTAGGGGTTGCATGAAAGAAAAGACTGAGAATTCTTGCTTGTCCGGTTTTTTGATCATGATCGATATGCCGGTGGTCATAAATGGCTTGGAAAAGTCGACTACACGTTCACGTTCCTGAAAAAAAAAATGCCTTCATTCCCAATTTCTTGAGTAATGAAATTTGATGAGTTCTCCCTGCCTGATTTATCGTGAGCGATGCGACAGCAACATCGGCCTTGCCATTCAGCAGATCTCCCATCATTCCATCCCAACTTCCATCTGGCAGTTTCGAACCCGTCTTTTCTCCCAAATACACTTCAAAATTGAACCCGTCGATTCGGTCGGCTAGCAGTTTCAACAGATCCATGCAGTATCCCTCGTATTTATTATTGCCTTCACATTCAGTACGATTGTTTGGCTCCATACATTCACGTTTGGTCATCACGAATGGAGCTACCTGAAACATCAGACCCACAAGTTTATAGGCACTTGTCGCTATGTTTGCAACTTATAGCAATCAATTTTTCAGCATTCTGTAGCCGAACTATTTATACTATTAGAACCGACTGAGAAGTTAGAGTAGTGGTGTAATCAAAACATTACTTCAGAACGACGTACCCAAACTGTGACTACCCTCACAACGTTTCTGTTGCGATTTTCCACTGTCTTTCGTGTATGCTGTGCGACTGTTCTATCAGCAAAGAATCCAGCTCCTTGTCTCCATGCCAATACCTGAAAAACAAAAACATCTATTAGGTTGTCCCAAAAGTAAACTCCTGAATAAATCGAGTCGTTTTCGCTTTCCCAGCAGGCTTATGGTATCCTTCGACAGAGCGAAGTGAGCTCCACAGAATGACTGCCAAAAATCCGCCTAAGTCGTGATCCATAAAGTTTGAAACTCAAATCGAAAAACATTTTACCACCTAAAAACTGTTTTTTGCGAGAGAAAAATCCAGCGAACCTCCAGCTTGGTTTTTTTACTGTAGACCCAAGTATGTAGTACTCAAATGTGTCTTTATTGGATTTTTTCCGCGCATAGAAAGCGAGAAAAAAGTCAGATTGGCAATTTGCCCCGTGCCCGTCCCACGTATGTCAGTATACCGCGGGCCTAAGTACGTATAAACTCAAAATTTCACAAAATGTTAGCTCTCTATGCGTCCGGTATTCAAGAAATATCAAGTTTAACATGGAAACCCTCCAAAAGTGACATTTTGCATTTTCGGGCTATCCAAATTGCCCAATAAACCCCGAAAAAAATCCAAATATATTTTTGGGTACTACTATATGTCTACTGTAAAATGACCAAGTTGGAAGTCGGTAGGAATTTTCTATATGGAAATTTGATTTTTGGGGTAGCCGGAAAATCTTGATTTTTGGCTTCAACTTTTACCTTGATTACGACATACATGGGCGGATCTTTGGCGGTCACTTTGTAGAGCCTCTTCGCTCCATCAAATGACACCCTAAGCCTACTAGCAAAACGAAAACAGTTTGATTCAGAAAAAGAGTTTACTTTTGGGACACCCGATATTTTAGCTTGAAATTTTAGTGACACGCTAGAGGTGGCAAGTTTTGAGGAGCTTAGCCAGATAAAGTATATTTCTTCTTGGAAAAGTTTTAGGTGAATCTTGTATGAAAAGTTTTGGTTTGAAGACTCTGAGTAGTAGTTGAATCTCATTTTCTTTTTTATTTGACAATGCTTAGCATAAGAGCTATTTTTAAGGGTTCTGGTGCTCGGACCAGGAACGAATTGAATTAAAAGTTCGTATTGGTGGTGTAATAAGCACAATAAGATAAACCTCTTTGCTATTAAATGTAGCCTTCGTGTTCGAAACCAAGTCGATTACAGAAACATCATAGTTCTTGCGATGACCGAAGCGGTCGAACTCGATGTTGCCCGTTAGAGTTCCGTCCTTAGCGTCTATTTTTAGCTGAAATGAGTTTCGTTGCAGCCAAGTAAGTCAGGGTCAATGGAAAAAGACATACTCCTCGCAATGCTTTAGCCACTGTTTTACCGTGTTCGAATGATGCGAATGGTCGTGATGGATGTGTTCGATCCGCAAGTGGATCGCAAAATATGCCTGAAAAGAAAGTTGACTGATATTTGAGCAATAGCAAAAAATGTTTAGGAAGCTCTAGGTTGAATTGGATCTGATGCTCTACATCTTGCTGACTCAGTACTAATCGAGAATTTTCTTCTGGGGTCTACGCAATGCGTCTATGCTTTTCTAACCAGGAAAAAAGCACCGGTGCTTCAAAAAATATTTGGCGTTTTTTTTTTGAAGAAGCTGATTTAATTCTTAGCCTACCATCTTGTTCTTGTAACTACTCAGAGTGAAAAGGGCGAAGGCTGTACATTGTTGAAGAACGTCTCCAAAAAGGTGCAACTCTGTTTTGAAAAACATCTATTGGAAGCGTCGGATTTCCTTTCCGAGGTAGCAGATGTGATTAGATTACTCATGCTAATTTGTGATACACCGCAGGAGTAATGAAAGAAAAGGAAACCTATTGATTTTTGTTTGATTCATTTTTGAATCATTTGCATTTACCTGGATATCCTCTATTGAAGAATCGACCATGTCGGAAGGTGCCATGAAAGAGCGAGTCATTGGAAGCAAGGCACTTTGCAAACCCGGTCCATGCCACCAGCATAGCATCATGCGAAAGTGCAGCTCGACTCTACAAGATTCTAATCGACTGAAGTGAGCCAGATTCCAGTTATACGCTAAACAAAACCCCACATCAATGTCCCCGTAAAGATTGACAAAGGTGTCGTCCAGCTTCTTCAAATGTTTTTTGAGATTCCAATACGCTCTGCTCTCTTTGCTGATCAACTGGAAACCGCTGATATTGATGTTCCCGTTTTGGAACATTTCCACATCGTAGGGTAGGAAGTCCTGAAGTTGAGCTAGGTAACAGCCTGATTTCAACAAAGAAAAGGTTCTTACAAAATTGGCCACAACATAATGGTAGTTGGCTTGGCTGAACTGCGCTGTTCTTACAGCAGCTAAGAATTTTTGCTGTCGTGAAGGAGATGTTGTATCGATAAGAATTCTGCAAAATAGGTTCCGATTGAAAAAAAAATTGTTGAATGTGAGCAGGTGCTATTAAGTAATACTTATTCTATTTATCCGTGATATTTATTTTTTATTTGGAAACCATTCCAGACTTTTCTATACTTCTTCTGCATTGAAAGCTAAGGACAACATTTACACCAAGTCTGATTCCGTTTTTTATGGACTTATTTTCTTGTTTTTTCCTTCTGGGGATGTGTACTTCCACTTCAAAAAAAAAACTCGTGTTTTTATTCAGAAGGTACTGACGCATTATTTCTATGAATATGCATTGACCACTATGCGGCCAAAACTTATTATTCAAAGCAGATTTTGTGAAAGGTCATGATGTCTACCCTACGATAGCTTCACCATATCGAAGATTTTCGAGAGCTAAAAATATATGCTAATCGCAGCCGATTGATTATAGCTAAATCAAATCGAGCAGGGGAAATTGCAACAAAAAAAGTAAGTAAAAAAGTAAAATCAGCTTTCGTTCGGCTTACTATTTTTACGCCTTTGTTTGGATTCAATTTGTAGATAATAAGAAGGGATTTGAAATTAAGTTAGAGTTACAGTTATACATCAATTTATTCGTGGTTTACCTGTTGGTAAAATTAGAGCGCCCCAGATTGAATTGTCGCAAAAATTCGCTGAACTTCTCTGCATCCCTTGGTAGCTCAAGCAATTGAGCATTGGTGGACTGGTTCGATTTCCTATGTAAGTGGTGCCATAGCCAAGTTAGTGAAATTCCTGCTGAAGGAAATCGCACTAAATCTTCTTCGAATTACTTGGGAGGTGAACTTACAGAACTCTCCATCGGTCAACATGATGATCTCTCTCCATTGCTTGTGTATGATAAAATCAGCTAATATCTCCGCTGACGATGGACGGACAGACACTTCGAAGCTAAACAGGTGGATCATTATAGTGAAGTAGTTGACTGTCAAAAATAATACCCATGCCGTGCTGACTGCGTTAGCGCGGAGGGAATGGCCATGGAGCACGAAATGCGGAGGACGTGCGCTCTATGGTCATTTTTACGCGCAAGTGTTGTAGCCACCGCAGATGCACTACATTAACGGTTGCTCTACTGGACTATATACTTATGTATTGATAGCCCAGGGAGGTTCTTGAACACTTTTGACTCACAAATTTGGTGGATCATGAGGATACGATGGCGATGTTAGTGAGATTAGAGGCATCTCTAGAGTGTCAGCCAAACCTCGCACAGCTTCATTGCCTCGGCCACCTTCAATGCTGATCAACGTCATCCCGCCTTCCTTCAGTTCTTGGCATACTAAATAAATAGTACAATACGATTAAAAATGTTTGCTTAATATGCCAAAAACAATTTTTTTCTCAAATTTGTCTATTAAAGAGTTATGGTTCGCGGACATCCTCGCGATCTTATCACATCTTTAGCTCTACACTCCGATCCTAAGCCATTTATTTATTTCCTCATATATTTTCTCAAATCAAAAATTGAACGATGTGCCGCTATAGGAGCATGATTATAAACAGAAGAGGGCCTAGAAAAACAGAGTGGAAGTAAAAAGATGTAAAAGTGTAACTATCATCCCAACCGCCCTCAAAAATGTTATGGATTTTAAAAAACAAGAATTCTCAAAAGAAGTTCTTGGAATTCATCGGCGAGTATTAGTTGATGAATGTATGTAAGGAAGGGTTAATAATTCATGACATAACTCAGTACATGCATGAAGTCCTCCCTGTCTCTCTTTGCAAACCTTCTGTTTTCAGAGATTTGAAAACATCGTTTCAAGCCAGAATAATGGTAAGCGCACAAGGGAAGCTCTCGTGTACATTACTTCTTTTTCAGGCTCTTTTCCCCATTTTCTACTTGGTAAATTGATGATGGTCATAGTCGCTCCACTAACGTCGAGATGTGCCTCCAGAGGGTCTTACTATCTGCTTGAATAGCGCTCATAAACAGGCAAAATGCGGTGAAACGGTTGAAACTATAGCATTGGTGAGCAAATAATTAGAAGCGATTTTCGTTGTGGAATGAAATAGAGAAAATAAAAACAGCGATTAGCGCTTAGGAAAGAATGATGATTGCTTGCTA